TCTGCAAATTCTATTCCATCTGTATGTAAAATCCCCATCTCGCCAGCTAGGCTATTTAAAAAGAGATATAAATGAACATATTTTGGTTTGGATTGTAATCCAAAGCGGGTGTGAATCGGTAACAAAGTTCGCTGCGAGTAAATTTTTGACAAGTATGAGGTGAATAAAATTTCACTAGCTCATGAGGCTAGTGGAATTTTTGACAATGTATAGAAAATTTTGACAACTGCAAAGATTATTGACGTGTATAATTTTTTTTGCCCCAAATTTAAGTAAAAACGATGAAATAGTAGGAAATGGGGCCTCTGGTGGCAAAAATTAAGAAGTATTACACTATATTAAATATTTCTTGTAAACAAATTTATTTAATGTTTTAAAAGCTTTAGTTGATTAAAATTAAATTGATCAAAAGCTTAAATTGATGAATTGCAATCAATGATGGTAGATTTTTTTTATATTTATTTCACTTCAGTTTACAGTATTTTTTTCTGCGGTTGTCAAAAATTTACTGCTGTCACAAAAGATTTCAATTCACTCAGCAGATTGGCAAAACTATCTCACGATAGTAAAAATATCAGTCACCAGCGTTCGCCACAGAACTTTGCTACCGATTCACATACGCCCCAAATGTTCAAAACGTTTTTTCTCGAATTTAGGTTTTTCGACTTAAGCGGTTATTGCTTATGACCACAGATATTTTGTCAATACAGTAAAACCCGCTTAAGTACCTCACGAAAAATGTCAGCTTTTTGAGGTACATAGGCGGGTTGGGTACTTAAAAGGACCCGCTTAAGTACCTCGATGTGGGTACCTCGTGTGCGGCAATTCACAATTAAAAAAAATTTAATTCCTTAGTACTGTTAAGTGGCTCATGTCTCTAGTCCTTTCTAATCCGTATCTAATCATTAGTTAAGTTACTTACTTAAAGATTATTACAGTAAGTAGTAAGGATTTGACATGGATTAGACAAGAGTTAGAGACGCGAGCCACTTAACAGTAGCCCGAGTTTTTATTTTTTGAATTTCGAATGGTGCCATTATTGCAGAGTACCATCGATATGTAGTGGTATAGGTCGTACTCAGTGATGCCAGACATTCTCTGTTAAATTTCCCACGAAAATCGGGAAAAAATCCCTCAATTACCCACATCTTAAAAATGTATCCCAGAAATCTGGCATCACTGGTTGTACTATCGTAATATGTACATATATGTACATATCTTTACCTTAATTCACAAAGGCCCTAACTAACAAATTTTTTTTATTTTACAGGAGAAGTAAACAACATTATAAAAAGAGTATCAAAAACAGCTTTTTAAAAAGGGGTTGGTAACTCCGCTGTTTTTGGTACTAGCACTTTAAAAATTTTATTGAAGGTGTACTTTAATACCTCCTCCCAAGTTCTGTGAAAAAAAAACGCAGTTTCGAAAAAAGTATTGGTTAGGGCCCTTGTAACGGGTAAGGTAACGATATGTACTATCAACTAAATTCATAAAAAATCTATTTAAAATGCTTCATAATCAACAAATATGCTTGAAAATACCATTTTAAAGCTTAACGTCATATAAATCGGATTTTTTCTTTATGAATAGCCTTATTTACCAAACTATTAATTTCGCTTTGTATATGTACTATTTACCTTATTCGGGTGGTGGCTAACGTTCA